GGAACATTCGCAGGTCTCTCGGGAACATTTGCGGGTCACTCGGGAACATTCGCGTGTCTCTCGGAACATTCGCGGGTCTCCCGGAACATTCGCAGGTCACTCGGGAACATTCGCAGGTCACTCGGGAACATTCGCAGGTCACTCGGGAACATTCGCAGGTCACTCGGGAACATTCCCAGGTCACTCGGGAACATTCGCAGGTCTCCCGGAACATTCGCAGGTCTCCCGGAACATTCGCAGGTCTCCCGGAACATTCGCAGGTCTCTCGGGAACATTTGCGGGTCACTCGGGAACATTCGCGTGTCTCTCGGAACATTCGCGGGTCTCCCGGAACATTCGCAGGTCACTCGGGAACATTCGCGGGTCACTCGGGAACATTCGCAGGTCACTCGGGAACATTCGCAGGTCACACGGGAACATTCGTAGGTCTCCCAGATACATTCGCAGGTCTCCCAGATACATTCGCGGGTCACTCGGGAACATTTGTCGGTCACTCGGGAACATTCGCAGGTCACTCGGGAACATTCGCAGGTCACTCGGGAACATTCGTGGGCCCCTCATCGGGAACATTCGCGGGTCACTCGGGAACATTCGCGGGTCTCCCGGAACATTCGCAGGTCACTGAGGAACATTCGCAGGTCACTCGGGAACATTCGTGGGTCACTGTGGAACATTCGTGGGTCACTGTGGAACATTCGCGGGTCACTGTGGAACATTCGCGGGTCACTCGGGAACATTCGCAGGTCACTCGGGGTCAGCGGTTTGCCAGACAATTAATTTCCTATTAGGGTTGAAAGTCAGCAAACTCCTCCAGTGAATGCAGATTAGTGGGAGTGCGGTGACCCCTGCTGGACGCACCCGGAACTGCCAGACGACTCCAAATCCTACTGCGTCCTCCGATGTCCTACTTCCCCAAACTCCAACCGTCCCCCTTCCAGACACAAGTCCCGGAGCCTCTGCAAATGTCTGACACGCATCAGCCCCCTGCCGCAGCCTCTCACCTTGTGACTGGATACAATGTTACAGACTGATCATTGGGGGAGGGGAGACTGAGGAAATGGTTCCTCCTGCCCGCAGCACACTGATGACATCATCTCAGCCTAGGCAGAGTCACTGACTGGAGCCGACGGGTCCTTTTATAATTTCATATTTACTTTGTAATCAATAAAACATTTTATTCCTCGAATATTATTATTATGTAACAATTGTCATTCCTGAGGCTCGGAGGCGGGAAATGCCGAGCTGTCGGCGGTTGTCGTGTCTCGCGCTCTAATGGCGGATCTTTCCTTTCAGTTGTAGGTGACGATGATGATCTGGTTTCTGATTGGCTTCCTGCTTCCGCTAGCGATCTTCGCTGCTCCGCCTCCGATTAACCGGTTGGCCCTTTTCCCGGACAAGAGCGCCTGGTGCGAGGCCAAAAACATCACCCAGATCGTCGGCCACAGCGGCTGCGAATCGAAGTCCATCCAGAACAGGTGAGCCGAGGGGCGGGACTTAGCGAGTATCTGGGGGGCTCATATCACCCCAATTCCTGCCCCTTCCCCCTCAGATCACCCCAATTCCTGCCCCTTCCCCCTCAGAGCACCCCAATTCCTGCCCCTTCCCCCTCAGAGCACCCCAATTCCTGCCCCTTCCCCCTCAGAGCACCCCAATTCCTGCCCCTTCCCCCTCAGAGCACCCCAATTCCTGCCCCTTCCCCCTCAGAGCACCCCAATTCCTGCCCCTTCCCCCTCAGAGCACCCCAATTCCTGCCCCTTCCCCCTCAGAGCACCCCAATTCCTGCCCCTTCCCCCTCAGAGCACCCCAATTCCTGCCCCTTCCCCCTCAGAGCACCCCAATTCCTGCCCCTTCCCCCTCAGAGCACCCCAATTCCTGCCCCTTCCCCCTCAGAGCACCCCAATTCCTGCCCCTTCCCCCTCAGAGCACCCCAATTCCTGCCCCTTCCCCCTCAGAGCACCCCAATTCCTGCCCCTTCCCCCTCAGAGCACCCCAATTCCTGCCCCTTCCCCCTCAGAGCACCCCAATTCCTGCCCCTTCCCCCTCAGAGCACCCCAATTCCTGCCCCTTCCCCCTCAGAGCACCCCAATTCCTGCCCCTTCCCCCTCAGAGCACCCCAATTCCTGCCCCTTCCCCCTCAGAGCACCCCAATTCCTGCCCCTTCCCCCTCAGAGCACCCCAATTCCTGCCCCTTCCCCCTCAGAGCACCCCAATTCCTGCCCCTTCCCCCTCAGAGCACCCCAATTCCTGCCCCTTCCCCCTCAGAGCACCCCAATTCCTGCCCCTTCCCCCTCAGAGCACCCCAATTCCTGCCCCTTCCCCCTCAGAGCACCCCAATTCCTGCCCCTTCCCCCTCAGAGCACCCCAATTCCTGCCCCTTCCCCCTCAGAGCACCCCAATTCCTGCACCTCCCCCCTCAGATCACCCCAATTCCTGCACCTCAATCATTACAATGGCCCCTCTATACAATCCATGTGTTCTATATTTGGCCCTCACAGGACACCGTGGGATTGTATTGTGTTTGGTTCCCCTGCTGGAGATTGTGCAGGGAATGTCAGCGCCGATCCTTCTCATTGTGTTCTGGGCTTTGTCTGATTTCAGGGCGTGTCTGGGTCAGTGCTTCAGCTACAGCGTCCCCAACACCTTCCCGCAGTCCACCGAGTCCCTGGTGCACTGCGACTCCTGCATGCCGGCCAAGTCCATGTGGGATGTGGTGAGTACCTCCGGTGATGGAAGTCCATTCGAGGGCATGTCCTGAATCTTTATGCTTAAGGGGGTGTGTCCTAAATATTTATGCATAAGGGGTGTGTCCTAACATCTTTATGCATAAGGGGCGTGTCCTAAATATCATACAGGTGGTGTGTCCTAAGTCTATATATAGTCTTAAACCTTTCTGCATAATGGGGTGTGTCCTACCTTTTTCTGCATAAAGGGGTGTGTCCTACCTTTTTCTGCATAAAGGGGTGTGTCCTACCTTTTTCTGCATAAAGGGGTGTGTCCTACCTTTTTCTGCATAAAGGGGTGTGTCCTACCTTTTTCTGCATAAAGGGGTGTGTCCTACCTTTTTCTGCATAAAGGGGTGTGTCCTACCTTTTTCTGCATAAAGGGGTGTGTCCTGCCTTTTTCTGCATAAAGGGGTGTGTCCTGCCTTTTTCTGCATAAAGGGGTGTGTCCTGCCTTTTTCTGCATAAAGGGGTGTGTCCTGCCTTTTTCTGCATAAAGGGGTGTGTCCTGCCTTTTTCTGCATAAAGGGGTGTGTCCTGCCTTTTTCTGCATAAAGGGGTGTGTCCTGCCTTTTTCTGCATAAAGGGGTGTGTCCTGCCGGTTTCTGCATAAAGGGGTGTGTCCTGCCGGTTTCTGCATAAAGGGGTGTGTCCTGCCGGTTTCTGCATAAAGGGGTGTGTCCTGCCGGTTTCTGCATAAAGGGGTGTGTCCTGCCGGTTTCTGCATAAAGGGGTGTGTCCTGCCGGTTTCTGCATAAAGGGGTGTGTCCTGCCGGTTTCTGCATAAAGGGGTGTGTCCTGCCGGTTTCTGCATAAAGGGGTGTGTCCTGCCGGTTTCTGCATAAAGGGGTGTGTCCT